CGCTCCAGCTTGGCTGTCCTCGAGATTGCAAGACGTGCTCAACCAATTTTTAACGAATGATAAAGAAAGACGACGAAAAACGAATTGAGTGCTAGGAGTAGTGCGATCCGTTCCAGTGACAAAAAAACCTCTGATACGTAGGAAATACGGTAAAGTGATCATAGCAATTTAACCGGTTGACTTCCGCGGGGCAGGCGTTTCCGCGAGCGTGGGTCCGCGGGAGTCAACCGGTTAAGGTCGCGTGAAATCACTAAAAACTACCTGAGGATTGATTTTCACGAACTGCTGCTGTGGAGCTTCTACCGATGATCGTACTACTTCGTGTCGGACCTCGGTTCAACGCTCTTCTTCGGTGGCGGTGTTGGCGTACCGTTGTTGCTGATGGGCGTTCTGAAAAGAAATTAACCTCACTTAGAAAACGATAATGATCTATTTCCTGAGAAGAAAAGTCCTCTCCAAAAAACGAATGTTGAGACAATCAGTCACTTAATGACTGAAAAATCAGAACAGAATCCAAAACAACGACCTTCAGTAAGAATATCAGTATTCCTACACAACGACGAAGGTCAAATGATTAGAAACAAAAATTTTCATGTGAGTGCTAGCCAAGCAATGTACCAGAATTTACTTAGTTGGATGTATGTGACTGCCCGTTCTCCACTGAGAGTGCGAGCTCCAGCCACAGGTAACCTGTACTGGTTTGGCTGCTCCTGAACTACCGAAATAAGCCTATCCAAGACTTCTTCAGGTCGCTACCACATTGGAGCAATCGCCGACCCTCGTATATCAAAAGGAGATTACCAATCATCTTACGACTAGTAGCTACCAGAGACGGCGGTTATTCGTGGTACGATTCTTTAACTGGGCTTTCCGTAGAATGTCGGCCTCCTTCTCACTCAGCTTAGGTGACCCTGCTGTTGAACTCCCCCGTTATTACTTCGCAATCGGACACCCCAGGAACATCTCCCAGCCACAATGAGACGACAAACGGTTTGAAGCATATTGTCATATGTATATAGGTAAGTGAAATATTCAAGAAACCTAATCCCGCTGTGCGTAAAATGGAGTACACGAAACCAATCCGTTTCTGATAAACACTGTTTTGTTCGATTTAGACAGAGACCGATCTCTCCACAGGCGTTGCCGAAATCGCCTCAACATTCGTTACCCTGGCTGATGCCCTGGTTTATAAAGACGATGCCACCAGCGAAAAGAAGATTGATTAATTGTCGACTGTCGATTTCCGCTCCCAAATCGTCCTATTCTAATGCTCGCTAAGACGTTTTGGAGGGTGGCAGCGAATAATTTTTGGCGAGCTTATTATGTCATGGTCAAACCCTCTTCCTACGTCACGATAGTAATATCGCTATAAAACGGCGAAATTTCTATTATAAAATCTTTACACAGCTTCCGAAAGATCTTATGTACCGACTGGGACGCCATGGGGTCCAAAGCCTCTATGATCGCTTCTGGTTTCCACTGGATCAAAGGCCTACTTCGAATCGATGAAAGTCAGACAGAGCAGTCAGTTGTCCTCTTCTGAAACCTCAACGAGTTTTCTGATCAAGTGTGAATGAGGTTTATAGAACAAAATCCTTTTCGAAATCCCTGCTTTCTCGCATGGCTGTCCTTCGTCCAGTGTTCTGTTAAAGCTCGTTCAATCAAAATTACTCAAGTAAAGGGTCTACAGACGGCGGTGAGCAAGCAGATCGGGCGATCAGTGTGTTTGATGAGAACTTGCCAGGGTAAGTATATGCCTACATATGTGCATACATACATCAATATATATATATATACATATATATGTGTATATATACATAAAGTATAAAGGGTTAAGCTCCGGCGTTGATCAATCCCTGAGGGATGCGCCATACATTCGACTTCAATTTTCAACACTTCGTTTGAGGTGATTGAATGCATATGTGCCCTTTACATATGATCGCGGTGGCCTCCCGCTAAACCGAGTCAGTGCTGCATTATCCTCCAAACAAGTCTGAGAACAGTCCAATTTGCCGACCCCGGAGGGATGGATGGCTTGGTGAGCCATGAGCGCGAGATCGAACCGTTTGACCTTATGGGCGACGCAGCGCACCCTAACCACTGCGCCACATGCGCTCTATAAATACAGTACATGTTATACATGTATATATGTGTATATATATATATATACATGTATTACATACAAATGCGTACGTATGTGTACACACGTATAGATACATACATATATATGTATGTATTATATACATATTGATATATATAATATATGCATATGTAAGTGTATGAGCGCATGCGGGCCGCAGTGGTTCAGATGGTGTCTGCGTCGCACAGCTACGGAGGTCAATGGTTCGGTCTCGCGCTCATGGCTCACCAAGCCATCCAATCCCTCCGGGGTCGGGTAAATCCGGTACCAGGCTGGTCTCAGACTTGTGCTGGGAAGGATAAACCAGCACTGATTCGGTTCAGCGGCGAGGTCACCCGCGAGCCATTGTAAAGGTCAGATATGCATTCAATCACCTCAAACGAAGTTAAGAGTTGAATATCGAATGCATGGCGCATCCCTCAGGGATTGGTCAACGCCGAGAGTTTATCCTTAATGTACATATATATATATATATAACATATATATACATATAGATATGCATGTGTCTGTGATATTTTCAACAGACAAAGAGTAGATAGTGATAACAGCAAGCGTATGTTGACCCTTGCGGACGACTAGAGGTCATTTTGATCCTCAAATTTTACACTGGTCTCTCTTTTCGCTGACTAAGGCTTTTTATCCAGAATTTAAATGATCATTTCGGAAAGCTCAAATCTCGGAGGATCTCGATCCTTTGTCTGATTTTCAAAAAGGCCTTTGCCGTAAGCTGTTGGAGTGAATAATAAAATTATGTTTCACACTCGGTATTGACTTATTTCGCTGGATAGAGTCTGTAGGATCGCTTTTTTACACACACTCAGCTCAATCGATAGCCCCAATCTCGACGAATCCCCAAGCTCACTTAGTATCCCGGAAAAGGTTTCATAGAGGGACTGTGAGGAGCGAAAATACTGTTACGATTTACATTCAAAGTTTTACTTCCCACCATGGGAATTGTCTATGCACAAAAAGTATACAAACTTGTATAGAAAATCATGTTCTATCGGAAGTAGTATAAGTAATTTGGAGTATTTCTCAAATAAAGAAAAATATAACAAAAATCGCACGCTATGCGCGATAGCGATATCGATTATGCTGCCGCCCCTAGAGGGATAGAGAAGATCTCTAGAGCCTCTAAGGCTAGGCAGGCTCACAAAACCCATTCTACTTGGAAGTAAATACACTTAAAAAAATTACTAGCTCGAAGTTGTCGGTAGATCACAGGCTACTCCTATTACCAAAAGCTATTGATTTTTTTAGCAACTAAGCAAATCGATTGATTGATTTGAAATAAACTCGATTGCCACCGAATCAAATTGATTTGAACAGATCAATACTACTTTGTCTGTAATAGCGTCGTAGAGTTGAATATGCGAACGCCAAAGCCGAGAAAAGAAAAAAGGAAAACGAGAGAAAACGTCGATAATCGAGGAGTCATCTCCAGATCATTATCGATCGATCGCTCGATTGAATCGCAATCAACTTAACTGCTTGATGATCAGATTACTCCGTGCTCGTGGGCCTTCCCCGAGAGGATTTGCTCCCACTGTTCGGAGAGGCGCTGAACGACTTTTGACGGTCGCTGAGAGGAGGAAAAAAGGGAAACGTTCGACTGCTGGCCCCAGAGCTTGCCAGCGAATGACGTCGGTGGCGTCGATTTGGGTCGTCGCCGCCGTCACGATCGGGGGCTTGCTGTGCTTTTCTGACTTGACGATGGCTGCCTTCGAGAACATTCATCGATGTCTGGTCGATCTGAAAGCGACATGTTCAGGAGGACAAAAATCGCCTAGAGCTTTATCGATCGATAAGCTTAACGACGTTGATCTACCTGGTCCCGCGACACGTTTGTGACCCGATGACCTACGCATAGACGGGCGATGACCTTTCATGGAGCTCGCGACAATGTGAGCGGCGCGACTATTCAAATGTGAACGCGCGATTAGCGATGGCGCGCGCGCGAACTGCTCTGTTCCAACAGCCGCTCTATTGTTTGAATCTGGGATGCGGGGGGGGGGGGGGGTGGTAAGAAGAAAGATTAATTCGGAAAAAAGCGGACTTTACAGGACGATATGGCTCCATTTTCGCTCCCATAGGCCGAGCATCGAAACATAGAGCCGGCCACTTGGCACCAAGTGCACGCGGTGAGTGCTTCTCTGTTCACCAGGAAGAGGGTAGATGGTTCGATCCCCCACCACGACGTCTACGCTTTTTTTCAAAATGCTAGACAATTAGGCGTTTTTTTGCGATAATAATTACGTTCCAGTAGAACCTTCAATACTAATCGACATCGAAAAGACAACCACCAAAAAAAAAACCACAGCGAAGCGCCGTGGTAGGGCATCGAACCAGCACGTTCTTCTCGATGGGCGGAAAACACTCGTCACTGCAGACTGCGCTCCTCGTGCCACTGCGCCAAGCGGCAGACAGAGGAGTGATACAGGCAGTAATTCCTGACCGATGGACGGCAGCACGAAGAGCCGCCCGACGTCACCACGCTAGTGGTTAGAGATGCGGAGGAGGTGGAGCAGATTGTACAGTGTTACCACGCGGGGGCTCAGAGATGCAGAGGAGGTGGATCCGCGGTCCCGAAAGGGTTAGAACATCGCCGATTCATGTCAGTTTTGTGTTGAAGAACTTTGATGAATATTAGTATATTGAAGCAACGCGAGGTAGTCATGCGAAGCCTAAGCCTAAGCCTAAGCCTAAGGACTAAGCCTAAGCCTAAGCTTAAGGCCGAAGCCTAAGCCTAAGCCTAAGCTTAAGCCGAAGCCTAAGCCTAAGAAGCGCTTTCTTGTGCAACTTATCAAATGACAAGTGGCCATAGGATGTCCAAAAGCGTCTGAATGATGCGTGAGACTCCTGACCTCAGGCGGGATTTGAACCCGTGTTTCACCTAAATCAGGGGCGTCTGCTACCACTACACCACTGAGGCCACTTTTCTGCCACCACTCTTTTTCGATATGAGAGATCAAAAGCTGGCAGCGGATTATAGAATAATGAATATATCACGTGATATTAGACATCGTAGCAATATCACTCATATCTAACCATGAATCAGGACTTCGTGAAGAATAAGTATTGGAAGATAGTGAGTTCTTCCTGCAACTAAGAGCAGAAACATGTGAAAATGAACAGTTTGATGAGAACAAGCTGGCCCTAAAATTGAAACCTCATCATATATGCCTCAGGAGAACTGAGTGGTTAGCAAAAATACGACTTCAGACGGGAGTTGAACCCGTCCCCGGCGTGGATGAAACGCGGGTGCGGACTCCCATCGGAGGTCGTGTTTTTGCTCACCACTCAATTCTCTTGGGTTTATATGAAAACCATCATAAAACTGCGAAAAAGCAGTAAATACCCAGAAATCGGGAGTGAAACCTAATCAATTCAACATACCCAATATTCTAGCGTGCTGTGCAAAAACGTTTACGTCAACCCGGATTCGAACCCAGATCTCAATCTTTGACTGTTGACAGCTAACGCATTGGTAGCGTAGAAAGAGTGCTGTGCAAGACGAGCGTCGGTGGTGCAACGGTTAACATACGCTCCCCGAAAGAGTGAGATCTGGGCTTCGAACCCCGGCTGACGTAAAACTTTTGCAATACCGTTATCATCATTAGGTATATTCATAGCATTCAAACCACCGCTGAGCACATGTGGCGCAGTGGTTAGAGGTGCCCTGCGTTAGGGATCTCGCGCTCATGGCCCACCAAGCCATCCCTCCGGGGTCGGTAAATTGGTACCAGGCAGGTCCTCAGACTTGTTTGGGAGGATAAGCAGCACTGACTCGGTTCAGCAGGAGGCCTACGCGGGTCATTGTAAAGGCCAGATATGCATTCAATCACCTCAAACGAAGTTAGAAATTGAAGTCGATTGCATGGCGCATCCCTAAGGGATTGATCAACGCCGAGAGCTTTATCCTTTATTTTATACCACCGCTAAAGGCGATCAATTAACAAGCATTTCGAATGATCAGAAATAAAAATGTCAGTAGAGTACATATTCAGAAACGGGATAAACGCTAAGTTCTAAAAGCTTTTTTTTGTCTCTTAGTCCATTACTCAAAGCTGGTTATTGATCACCACTTTTTTACTACTTTATTTGATCATCTTCACAGTGTTTTTTTTCTTTCACTGTTGCGAATCCTAGCAACTTCTGGCATTCAATTCGTTGGTATCTTCTGATATGAAGGGGCAAATGAAAAACGGACTTCATTCGCTGAGAAGAAGTTTTCATAGGAGTTTTAGTAACTGTTGGAAAAGCTTAGATAATTGGCTACATCCCCACGTCGCTCGGTTTTCGGGAAGACCCTTTGATAAACGCTGTGAAATCCGCACAAATCTATGTCTCAGAACGCGGCGTATTTCTCGTCGAACAGAGCTCTTTCTTTGGATTGTTAGTCATCATTCGACAGCGTAATAGATCCTTCCACTATCATTTGAGCAAAACATGTCATGTG